CGTTAGGAAACAAGACTTCAAGACCACGGCCACACAGCCCGGAAGACCCACAACAGCCATTTCAGGTATCTTTGGGAATCTGGCTCCCCACTATGAGAAGAAAATGCTTGATTCAGATGGGCCTTGGCCTGCAATGGCTGTTCTTCTGTTCTTATTTCCAATCTGTTTGTGTTTGTCTATACATTCAACTATTATTTATTCTTAGCTGTACCTTTGTTAAAGTAGTATTGTCTCTCTTGTTCCAACACTGTCCAAGGGCAATCCTAAAGTGCATAGTATCTGTTCCACTTTTGTCATCCATACCTTGATATTGACTGGGAACAGAAGCAATAAAGGTAGGATAGGGACTGGCAACAGGGACAGCAAATATAATACTGGGATAGTTTTCTACTGACTCAAGGATGAGCAGACAGCACTACAACGTGGGAGTGGGTAAAGGCTCCTACAGTGTGGCCCTAGCATTGCCTGGTTTCAGTGATTCATGCTATTTATTTATTTATTGCCTTTGAATCAGTTTTGAATCCTGGTGACTGCCCGGACATGTTCCTGCAGTTTTGTTGGCAAGGTTTTTCAGAAGTGGTTTGCCACTGCCTCCTTCTTAGGGCTGAGAGAGAAGGACTGGCTCAAGGTCACCCAGCTGGACTAGAATGCACGGTCTCCCAGTTTCTAGCCTGGTGCCTTAACCAAACTGGCTCTCTATAGTAGAGATTCATGCTCTACTATAGCAAATCAAAATGTGGCCTTCAGGCGAGAAAAGGCAAGGGAAGGCTCTGCCCCCTTTGTACGTGCAGGGTGATGCACAAATGTACAAAGGGGTAGCGTTTGTATTGTGATACTGAAATGTTTGTTGTACGGTTTTAACAAAATCAGTGGATTCTGCCTTAGGTATGTAGAATTTTAGCCATTTCTTTTTAAAAAAACATTATAGATTGTGCTTTAATATGGCTTCCATGTTCTCCAAAGATAGGATACTTATAATGACAAAACTCAGGATTTTTAAATATGGGGGGGGGGATCTGTATGTTGCCACCTGAAGTGATGTCATTTATACTTAACGTGAAAAGATGGTGCTGCATAAATTAACAGCACAGCATAAACAGAACATGCACAAGAAACAAGAAGAATTTATCTGCTTACATGTTAAGTAAAATATATTGTAATATATATGTCATGACAACTAATAATTAATCAGAACAGGTTAACATACTGGAGGTCTTTTCATTCATGAAAATGAAGCACCCTGAATGAAGGCAGATAGTCAGAAGGAAACAGACAGAAAATATTCTACCTTCTTACTGGCTAAACTTGAAATCAAGAACAGGCACTAACAAGCTATTAAAACAGCCTTAAGGAACTTCCCCATATTTATCTGCCAACCTCTCCTTGCAGGTATTGTCATGGAAAGATTTATACAAATGAAAAGAAAGGAAACAGAAAAAAAAATACAATACTTTTAAATACAAATCAAAAAAACTGACAGTGCAACTCTTTATATGTCTATTCAGAAGCAAGACCTATTGTTGAATCAGACTTTCTCACTAAAAGAATACAAAAGTGAAGGCCAAGGAATATAACTATGATAAAAAATTAAAGACAAGATGAAATATTAATAAGAGGGGAAATACCCATAAAAACCCCACATGCCTTGCCCATTTCCATCGATATGAGAACACCTCTGACATATTTTCCAAAAAGACCCAACTGAATGTTAAATGACATAAACATACAGTAGTTAATTCTCTAGAGGGTTCTAAGAAATACATGTGAGGTCAAAGTAGATGTTCTAGGAAGGGCTATATTTACTCATTCACAAGCAAATCCCGTTAAGATGTTGGGGGAAGGGAAGTAAGATCTTACTTTTAAGCACAAAAAGATATCCGTAGCTGAGAACAGCTAATGCCTACCCTCTCCCCTGCCTTGCCTTATCTGACTCCATGAGAAACATTTTTCTCTCTAGCTCAGCTCATTTTTTTGTACTGGAGCCAGTGCTAGAAAGAAAAGTTCCTGCAGGGAGATAAGGCAAGAGATAGAGCAGAACACAGTTATCCTTAAAAAACAGATATCCATTTTACGCAGAAACAAAAGCATAGATTGGCCTACCACATTTATAAAGGTAACAAAGATGTCACGAAAAAGCCAGAATAGTCTTTTGAGAAAACAGTTGCTGATGTTTAATGTTTACACTGAGGCTGAACAGTGTGGTTCTCTATCTTTGTAACAGGAATTACAATAAAGAAATACAGTTTGGAACACTGTAAATCATTGCTGCAGCTGCAGGGCTGGTGGTATCGTAATGGGTAATGTGCCATCCAAATATTGCCCCTTTTGTACATGCACACATGTTGGGGCCGGACTGTGATTGTGAGCTGCGACCACCATCTTGCCTGCTTTGATTCCCCCACCCCCTTGACTGCAGATACACCAGTCTAGTATATCTGAACTTCGCTATGCTTTTCTATTCATGTTGATAACTGTGGGTCTTTAAAGCTGCTTTTTGCCTAAAACTTAACTAGATATGTTGATTTTCAGGAAAGAGAAGGAATCATCCTCAAAGATGTTCAGCCTGCTCGTGCAAGTTATGTATGCCAACCTCATCTATATGCACACATCCCAGCTTCTCTGAAGATTGTATAAATATTGATCATGCACAGCTACAGCTTAGAGAAGATATGTAACGCTTTTAGTTAAATGCATGTAAAAGTCTCATTCTGAACTTAAAAAGCACAAATATCTTTATAGGATCAAACATGTTCAGGAAACTCAGGATTTGAAAATCAAGACCAGGCTCCTTTGTGATATTTTTTAAGCATTGTCTGATGAAACTGTTTTCCTGCTTGTGAAGAGACGCAAAGCAAGAGTGAACAGCCTGCATTTATCACAATGCAGTTGGATCAAAATAAACCAGGATGTCCTTGAATCTCAGCTTATTATTCTATGAAAACACAGCTTTTCAGGCTCAAAAAGATTACAGTAATTGTGGACCTTGAATACTTGTCTGGCTAATTCCCATCCCTCATTTCTCAATGTTGATACAACTGGGGACTTAATCTAACTGATCATTTATTTCCAAATGAGGCTGTAAAGGACCACAGAATGAACCTTAAGTAAAATCACTTCAGACAAACATGAATTGTACTTTCATCAGCAAGCACATGTGATTTCTTATTCTGTAGAGTGTCACACAAATTGATAATTGGCAATTACAATCATGTTAAATATAGTAAATATTAATCATGTTAAATGTAGTAGCTATGTTATTAACTTACTTTAACTTGGGGATAAGACTTCTTGTTCTTTTCGCTAGAAGCTCCAGGAAGTCCACCGTGTGATGGCCCTTCACAAACATAGCGGAAACGAAACCCCCTCTAAGGAGATTAGTTTTAAAGAATTAAAGAACATTTAATTGAATTACAAATTCCTGTATAAGCTAGATAAATCAGTAATATTTCTCATCTCCCTTTTATATTTAGTTCTTCTGTACTGATAAATATTCACATATGTTACTAGTTTATTAAAATATGTACCTACTATTAATACTGTAGATATTTTGAATATTGTACAACTACATAATTTTTCCTCCCATAAAGTTAAATGTCAATTATATATTAAAAATTGAAAGACAATTTATAGCAGATATATCAAATAATTTTTATAGAAATACCTTATCCCACAAAAAAGTTCATGATTCCCAAATATTAGGAATGAAATTCTGATGTTGACTAAATATAAGCACTAAAGGGTGTTTTTGTGGTGTTTCCTTTCAGAATAAACAAATTGAAATCTGATTACCATTTATTAACTATATTAACAATGCTTTCCCAGCAGATGACTTTCATCTATAGAAATGTTCTTCTAAATAGAACTGAACATGAATGTTGAAAATGTTTATATTTCTCCTTAAGGGCATATTCTACTCTCTTTTGATTTTTGTACTGCTTTATCTTAACTCGATACTTCTTTTTCATTTTTCTTCAAATATTTGTTCAATAAAAAAGAAAAAGGATAGCTAATCTTAGAGCCTTAATAACAACTCTTTGGTCCATTTTTCCTTATTTTAACATTAGAATTTCACTCAGAATTTGCTATAAATGTTTCAACATTCCAAGCCACTTTTCTTGACACCCCACTACCTCTGCTTTTTATAATACAGGTAGTCCTTGCTTGACAATCATTCATTTAACAATGGTTCAAAGTTACAATGGCCTCAGAAAGGGTGCTTCATGGCTTGTAAAGCACTTCTGGATATCTTAAAAAGTTGCACCACCTTCCCCCCTGCAGTCACATGGCCGCATTTTGGGCACTTGCCAACTGGTTTGCATTTACAACCAGTTGCCAAGAGCCCTGTGATCATGTGATCACCATTTGCAATCTTCTCTGCCGGCTTCCCCAGAAAGTCAATGGGGAAGCTGGCAGGGAAGGTCACAAGTGAAGGGGACAGAGGGGAGCTGAAATTCTTCTGCAGTCTTCAGGAATGGAGCTCAAATCCTGAAGATCTGAGCTCCGTTCCTCCAGCCCCATGAAGGATTTCTCCTCTGTGCATGGAGAAGCGGGGAAACCCTTTGTTGGGCTGCAAGAATGTTTGAGAGCAAAAGGGCTGCCTGCTGGGAGGATTTCAGCTCCACGCAGAGCTGAAATCCTTTAGCAGGCAGCTCTTTCACTCCGTCCACTTAATGATCTGGGAGATCACTTAACCAACTGCAACTGGGAGTGCCAGGATTGCAGTTGTTGAGTGAAGCAGTCATGTGGGCGTCTTGCTTGACGACCACTTCACTCAACGACTGAGATTCCAGTCCCAATTGTGGTTGCTGAGCGAGGACTACTTGTATTATAACTATGGAAGATTTTAGGGCCAACTAAAGCTTTCAACTTTCTGTATCGTTTTGGCTGATTCCAGTAAAGACTATGGCCTCCTATGGATGTTGGATTCTTTTTTTTGGGGGGGTCTTTCAACTCATCACAGCTGCTATGATGATGATGATGATGTCAAAATTTGCTATTTAAAATGAAAAAAGTAGGTATATGCACAACACAAATGAATGATAAATAACATATAGTGATAATGCTGAAACAAAATGAAAACAATTTAAATGAAAAAAATCCATGCCTTTAAATCTTAGAGTGACATTCCCAAAAAAAGTGGCGGCGGCAGGGCGGGGGGGATAAAGGCTGGGAACTTTGATTTTCCTTTAGCAGAATTTTTATAATCTGTACAATATTATTTTGTTTTCCATCATATACTTCTTTGTGGAAACATGCATTCAGTATACACAAGAGTAAATTTCCTTAATTCTGAATCATTTACAATGCTTTGCCAAAAAACTTATTTCATATAGAGAACTGCTTATTTTTTAAAAAAACCTTTCAATATGTCATTCCAAGGAAAAAATATTACACTTCGGGCAAAACCAATTGTTACAAATAGTCAGCCAGTTTTACAAACTTGCAGCTTTCTTGCCAGCTGTTCTTGTCTGACAGGCTCAGGCACGCCTAGTAGGCATTCTCTCATCTCAGATGTGAAATCTATATCTGCATGAAGGACAACTCCATGTCCTGGGTCACCTACAAAGTCAGATTACTGAAACCTCTTCCTTTCTGTTCAGAGGGAAAATATTTATATTTGAAAAACTGCAGTCAGAATTCTGAGAGAAAGGGAGCAAGAAGCTAATGTGCTGAAGTTGGATGCAAGGAAGGTGGGAGAAAGAGGCAGGAGAAAGAGAACTCAGATTGCCCTCCAATCTCTGATTAAAGTTGGCAATTGCAGGAAGAAGGATTTTTCAAGTAAAAAAAAAGTATAAAGTTAGTATCTGTTCCAAGGGTCTATATTCTTTAGAGGAATAGGTAAAAGTTAGATAAGTACTGGGCTGATCTGAATTTCTTTTCCTGTGTTTTTAAGTCTAATTTTGTCTTTAATGATTATTGTCTCTATACAAACTCAGTGCATTTGGGATTTGTGCAAAACAGCAACCTTTTAGGTCAGAGTTGTTTTTAAATAGGAGCAAATCAGTATAATTTGTATAATTTGTATCAGTATAATCTGCTGAGAGCCCTACATTTTCCTGTGTGTTTTTTCTATTTGAAGTTCATCTAAAATGTCCCTGATTTGATTAGCCCTATAGTTTTTATTTCCTCCACCACTGATAGTTTTGCATTTAACTTCTTGAAGTTAGAAGGGAATTTTTACATTCTCTCTTTTACATTTTAAAATAAAGTTTGACTGTATTTATCTCTTCTGAAATTGGTGTATGTCACTACAAAGGAGGATGAGGATGAGATGAAACACCTCAGTGCTACAGGGACAGAGTAACTACAAGGTTTATTTCATTGGTCATTATTTATTTCCTTTTAAATGCTAGTAAGATGCACAGGCTGTGTGAATCTTATCTCTCTCATATACTGGGGTTGGGGGAAGGACAATAGGTAAAGGCATCTTACTGGAAGAAGGTGGTGGCAGTGAAAACTTCCAAGCTGCTACATCAAAGCAAGAGACAGAAGGACTTCCAGGGGAGATATGGCGAACTGAAGATGGTTCTGCAAAAGCGGAGCCAATGACTGTGGCAAAGGCTAAGGAACTGGTGAGTAGACTGGTTCCTTGGAACCTCGCCAGATAAGGAGAGGACAAGAGATCACCCACATGTGCTCCGGATGGCTGCTCCTTGCAAGGAGACTGCAGGACAGCGGTTTTCGGTGGTATGAATGCTGGGAGACAACAGGATCTTGCTTGCAACTGTGGCTGAGACCTTGAAAGGATGCTAAGTTCACAAACCTCACTTTCTAATCACTTTTGGAAATTGCCTATTAACTATTCTAAAGCTGTGGAGACCTTCGGAAGACAGGTTTGAAAAGTCTTCATTGGGTGAGTTTATCTTCAACTCTGAACAAAAGAAAAGTTAATTACAAGCTTAAGATCTTAAAGGATTCGAAATAAACAGCAAAAAGCTAAATAAGATTTTGACCTAAGAAAGATATAAATGAATTAAGGGCCCAGATAAATTTGGAATATTGACTTTTACTCTAAGATTTTGGAATTAACTATAAAAAATAAAGAGCTTCTCAAGAGAAACAGACTTATTTTGGTTATCCTGGCAATTGCAAGTTATAACAAAAGGTAAGTGATGATCTTAGAAACTGGACACTAGAGGGGACTAAAGATTTTAAGCAGGAAAAAAAAAAATACAAAGCCTGATGTCAGTTAATACTAGTACTTACAGAATGATACAAAATGTTATAACTTTGGAAATATTGAAGGAGATCTTTGAAAAATGGAGCCAGATGTTAGTAACTACAATATCAACATTGTCAGTAATGATGTCTGCTTCTATGAATAGACTACATCTAAAAGGAAGACTTAATGAAATTAATGAAGGAATGACAGATGTGAAACAAATTTTATCTGATAAGATAAAGTACAGAATGTGGAGCTACAAATAACAGGCCAAGAGAATTATTTGGAAAAGGACGCTTTATTGGATATACAAAAGAAACTGACTGAGGTTTTAAAAATTAAAGGGAAATACAAATGATAAATCAAGAGAATGACATAGAAAAATGTTTTCTTATTGGATCTACAAAAGAGGCTTGTTAAAGTCTTGAGGAAATCTGTGTGATGGGATAAAAAAGAATTGAAGAGAAATCAAATCCTGTGACAATATTTGATTGAATTAAAGATGGAGACTGTTAGAAGTAAAAGGAAAGAATCTAAAGTTGGTTCATCTGATCAAGGTTAAAATAAGACTTTTTTTTTTTTTTGCAATGTTCTGGCAACCCTTTACGGACTTTTTGCTGACACCAGGATTGAAAAATTGATGTTTTATGGATTTGCTTATAGATAGGGGATGGAACATGGGATGAAGAGATATCTGTTTAACCTTATAGGGGTGAAGAGTTACTTGTTTATACTTGTTGTGATGAAGGCTGGAAGTCACTTCTTTATATATTTCTTTTCTTTATCTTTATTATATTCTGTCTTTTCTTTTTCTTCTTTTTCTTCTTGCACTTTTTCTTCTTTCTTTCTTTCTTTCTTTCTTTCTTTCCATTCTCTTCTCTTTCTCTAAGTTTATTTTGTATTAGTTTCTACTATCATAATTAACATTCTTAATAAAAATTATATTTTAAAAAAATCAGGAGATAGAGCTAGGGTAAGCAGATCCCAGAGAATTTGTGGGAGAGAAGATTTAACACCACCAACCTTTCATTCTATTATTCTATTATGATAGTCATGCGGTATCATAATGATCAATTTTTGTATAAAACTTGTTTTCTGTGTTTGGCATTATCTTAAATAATTGGGATTTCATTATGTTAATTTATTAACTTTTCAATATTAAAAAAGAAAACAGTTCTCTTCTCTTACCTGTTTAGGTTGCTCAACTATTTGAAGATATGGCCCATCAGCTAGTAAAAAAGCAAATAAAGAAAACAGAAGAGTTTGTACAAATATTGTATTTCTGAAGACATTTTGCAAATGATGTTTTAAGAAACTGAAGATATA